GGGTAGAACAAAAGTGCAAGCTCCATATTAGTTTAGAGAAGAGTTCCTGCTCTTTGAACAAGCCTTGCTCCTTTTTTTCAATGTTACTTTTGGAGAATAGTGTGTTCTCTCAACAAAAAAAAAGTTGAGGAAATCCAGTAATGCTGCTTCATAGCAACACCACTGGAGAGAGTCTTTTTCATCTTGAATTTGTAATGTTGCATTTATGTTTCTACCACATTGTGATTTTATTTATCTATACTTTTTTCCCCTCAAAGAATTTCTTAGTGTACTTCAGGTTTTTATTAGAATACATTACTTCCCTGAGTTAAATTGCAAGTCCGCACGTAGTTTTATGTGAAAATACTGTTGGAGCCTCACGTTATGTCCTGCTGGCATTACAGTCTAAAATAGATACCTGTCTTGCCTTAATTTCCTCTGCAGTAGAGGTGTTGTTACACAGGCTTTGGCTGTAGTAGCTGCTTACTGAACTGTTCCTTGGAGTCAGGCAGCAGTAATGAGTGGATTTCTGAATTTTATTTGGATGAGATTGCAAACAGGGGTAGAACAAAAGTGCAAGCTCCATATTAGCAGGAAATGCGGTGTGCTAACTGAACTCTGGGGATTTGAGAGAAGAGTTCCTGCTTTTTGAATGAGCCTTCCTCCTTTGGAGTCAGATGTAAAGTTTGTTGAAGCCCCCCAACATTGAAGATTGGGACTGGTACTGCAGCAAATAAATCATAATATATAACATTAAATTGATAACTTATTTCACAAACATAGAATGTACTTAGTGACTTAGTTAAAGTCACTTTGCATTGCATTTGAGCATTTATACAGCATGAAAGTGTTCTTCCTCTTGTTTGTATCTACTATGTGCTAAGTTGCTTTGAGCATTTTCTGTGTTTGCTTCGATTATATGTGGTCTTTGAAAGGTACTTTCATAATTCTTTCATGGTTCTTAAATAAAATACAAATAACAGTATTTTTTTTGCATGCACAAGCTTCACAATCATGCTCTGTAACAACATAAACGTGGCTTTTTGTAGCTGTTGAAATCAATGTAAAAACTGGCTTGCTGCCTTAAAAAAATGATGCACTGTGTAAACATAAACAATTTCTGAAATTGTGGTTTTTTCACTTCAGTGGATTACGGAAATCTGGGGGCAAGGGCAAGAAACAAGAAAAAGAAAACCTGAGAGGTTCTCTGGATAGCAGGTAGTTGTTTGGTTTTGTTCGTTTAATAAATACATGCTGCATTCCTAAAGTTTTTAACCTAAGAATTCCTTTAAAACTATCATTACTGTTTGACCTTAAAGTACAATCAAGTATAACAATGGCAGAATTCTGTGCAGATTAATCTAATGATGTGGAGATGAGTTTCTAATCTCATGAAATAAGAAAAACACGTAGGCTAGCATAAAGGAAACAGTAAAGGAGGGTTACGTTTTGGAGTCGTTTGTAAGATTAACACATTGTACCCTATCTTAAATATGAAAACTGTATTTTGCTTAGGAAGATGAATGTTGAGTAATTAAATTAGCGAATTATTTGAAGTTGTTAAATTGTTGTGTGAAACTACAAAAGCTCTTAAATTTGTGGTGTTCTGTAACTCAAGTTATTTTGCATGGCTATTTAAAGGCAAGTATCCCTTTTCATTTTAAATATCAATTGTGCTGTGAAATGGGTAAAAATGAGTGGTGTGGTTTGAGTTGTTGGTTTGTGCGTTTGGGGGCGCAGGGTGGGGTATTTGCTGCCGTTTAAACACAATCTCCTTGTTTCAGAGGTTCCCGAGAACTGTTGGATGACTCTGGCAACAACCTGTCTGCATCAGATTCAGACTCCCCTGCTCCTACTTGCATGCCTTTCTCTTGGTTTGGAGACAGCCACAAAGAGCCTCAGGTTTCTAGTAGCAGCCTGCACGTTACTCAGAGCGGGCAGGACGGTTGTGAACACGGTCAAGAGAGGAACAGAAGCAAGGTAAAGATGACTAATTGGTGCTTGGAATATTTAAGTGGTGCATCTTGATAAAGCAAAAACATCAGTGCTTATTGTGTGGAAGCTTGATGACTTAGTCCTTGACCGTATCATCTCTTACAAATGCAGCTGCAGAGGTTTGAGACTTTACAGCCCTCACAAGCAGGAACAGGGAGAGTGTTCCCATCCCTTCCTGTTCAGTTGAAGCATCAGTGGAAGCTATTCAGGCTGAAGTAGCAGCTAAGGAACAATCGCAGGGTGTATTTTCTCACTGATTTATAACGCTAAAAGCAACGCTAGCTATAGGACAGCCTAGTTTTAAAACCCAAGTCTAACCCTGTCTAATACAGTCCAATACTTGAAATAAGTGTACCTAAATAGAGGTCAGCTTTCCAGGCAGTTTGCCAACCAGTTCTTAACATACTGGTATGTAGGGGTGCAGTACCAGACAGGTGGATGAAGACAGTGTCGTGGTTTTCATGACTTAATTTAGTCTTGAAAGCCAAGAGACGTGTCTGTAGAATACTCTCTTTTCTAGGAATCTGCTTCTGAGTGACTGATAATATTCTAATAATAAAATCCTTTTAACCAGATCTTAAGAGTAGAGCTACACAGTTCAGCCTATAACCATAAAGTTACCGTCTTTATAGTTTAAACTACTTGAAAGAAATGGCTGTGAAAGGTAAAATGTTTAATGTGTGCACTGTCTAAATATTTTGCTATAACCTATTTCAGTGTAAGACTGAGTGCAGCGATCATTAACTTACCTTCGTTCTTGTTTCCTTTGGGTTTTGTTCCATTCAGAATTGTTGCTATTTGAGTAAACTCGTAAGCGAGGTTTAATCTTGAGTTTCACACTTTTTCTTCACTTTGGTTTCCTGAAATACTCTTTCACTTTTTCCTTTTCCTTTGTGTTACTAGAGAGAGATGAGTTACAAATCTAGAAGAGAAACTTAGTAGGTTGCAGTCCATGAAGTCACTGATACTTCTGTGTAGATGGCATGGAACAAGTTGGCTTTCCCTATTTTCAGATGCTGACTGCATTAAAATGCTGTTATACTTTTCAAAAATTACCTTCTGTTTTCTTAATGTGAATTTACAGTCCTTGTGTCAGGATTAAGCTGTCTCATCCGTAGTTCGTAAAAAATATGGAAAGTGGTTTTAGAACTATACAATGCCTTACTGCAACCCAGGAACTTGTGTGATTTTTTTATTATGAAATAGGAGTGCATGGTTGGTATCTTAATAGGCTACAGCAAAGCTGTCGAGAGATGTTTTCTGTATCGATAAACGTTCAGTGGTTGAGCTTTCAAAGTCATTACTTGAGAAGAACCAATTCATCCCTTCTTTAGCCCTCCTTTCTGTCTCACTCAAATAATTGTTCTGAGCATCATAAAAGTCCCACTGCTGCATTTCTACTATTATGAGAACCCCTTAATTTGTTTATGTGGACACTTTTTTTGGCGATTAAGACAGTGTAGAGTTTGCCAGATTGGGTACTCTCTTCCTTTCGACGTTGCCCTGAAACAATAGCCTTTTCTTCTCCTCGTTGTATACTTTATCCAAGTCGATGATCACTTTAACCTTCCAGCTGGTTTCACACCTACTGCTTTATTTTTTGTTTCCTTCTCATGTTCCAGTGTGTAATTGCTGCTTGCTGCTCTTTTCTTTTCCTTAGTGCTAGTTGCAGACCAGCAGCTTTGTAAAATGGTAGAAAGCTGACCCTTTTAAAGAAGAGATTCCCATACGTTAATTGATCCTAAAATCACACTCAGCCTCTCCACAGTCAGGCTGATTTTACTTTGCATTGTTTGGGGTTTGTTACAAAGATGGTTTAGCTACTGCTTGCAAGGACTGATCTTTGTTGATCTTAACCTGCAGTTGGTCATTAAGTTTGCGCTACAATAACGAGGCTTTGGCTGGTAACCCTCACTGTGAAAAGACATTAAAACCGAGAAAGAAGTGTGTTTGACCGCTCAGCAGTGAGTCTTGTTACTAAAACAACCTGACAGCAGGGACATCATCTTCCCAGAATTTAAGGAAAGAATGCTTCTTTTTGTTGATGTTAACTCCATAATATATATTGCTTTTATGGCTGTAATATCCCATACGATCACATGAAAGCATTTCTTAAAGAGCAGGTAAAGGGCAGAAGTCCTAAAACAAGAACTTTGACATCTCTTAACTGCTGCACTGAGTCTTGCGTTATGTGTAATTTCTGTAGTTGTGTTTCAGTACTGATGGTGTAAGGAATGCAGTTATATTTTAACTGTTTTCTGTTTCTGCAAAGTTTTCCTCTTAAAATTGCTGCGTCTAGAAAGATTTTGTTTTCTTAAAATGATAACTGAAGTTAGTCTTAAACTTATAATATGGCAAAGTAACGAATCAACTTCTCTTGTGAAAACTAGAAACAGAAGAACTAAAATCCTGTGATCCGAGTGTCTGCAGATTTCTGAATTGCAGAATTCTTAAATTAGTCCCTTTACATAGTCTGCCCCTTGATTTAGTCCCATTCTCTCATACAAAGCAAGCACGTATGTACTGTTCGTGTTCGTTATTTTTCCAGATAATTACGTTGCTTCTGTAAGTTTGTGTGCAGTGTTTCATTTTCATTGCTAGGAAGAACGCTGTAATGTGAACTGTGTCTGTCCTACTACCTTGTGTCTTCAGAAGCATACCTATAAAACCTCTTATCTCCAAATTCCATGCTCTCCAAGAACCAAAAAACTTTGCAACTGGCTCTAAATCCTTAAAAGGAAATTACTTCTTTAATCTAAATAGGAGCAGGGGGAGGAATAAACATTACAGCTGGTGCTGAGACGCTTTACTCTTGGCTTTGTTTTCTTCATATGTTTTCTAAGGTGTCATTGAGTATTTTGCTCAAATATCACCTTGTTCTAGGGGGGAGGTTTGGTACAGTTTTGTTTCTGAATTGTTCTCAATTGCTCTGCAAAGGTAGAAAGAGTGACTGAGGTTGGCTAACCCAAAAGCTCCTAAATAGATTTTTCAGTTTGATTGGAATTTAATTTGAGAGTCGGTTGATGGACAAAGCATTCTGTTGTTTCTGGCAATACTTCTTACATCTAAAAGTCTGAAGAAGTCCCTAAAATAGAATGTAGTTAATGAAATAATCTACATGGTAAATAGAACACCATTTCTATTATTCCTGTGCAGTACGGTACTCCATGAAGGGCTAGCAGGAAAACTCAAGTTGTGGATAGGGGTTTTTTCATTTGTTGGGTTGTGGTGGTGGTGGTTGCTGCTGCTGCTGCTGTTTTCTTCACTTATTTTCTTCTCTTTTTAAAGACTGGAAATGTGTGTCAATAATTTAGGGTAAAAGGGAATGCAAAGATGAAGTATCCACACCCAAAACAAAAAGAGAATATTCTAGAAAATTTAGAGTTCGGGTTAAACTGAAATCAGAACACAAATACAGAAGTGCTCAGTGAAGACAACTGCAAAAACACAGTTCTTATAGGAGCATAAATCACTGAATAAAAATGTCTTTAACATCAGCTTAATTTAGAATCTCAGATTAATTATGTGTATAGGGATGTTATAGGTTGACATCCTTACAAACCGTAGTTAGTTGATTAGAGACTTAGTGAAAATAAGAGAAAATAATGGTAACTAATTGCTTACTGCTTGTAGGTGGCAAAGAGGAGTGCTGAGAAGTTTTAGAAGGACAAATGTAGGAGGCATGCTTTTGGCAGAATCATTTTTCACTCACTAAAGAAAAGTAACAGAGGTCAGGGTCCGAGCTGGAAACAGAGGTAGTAAAATTAGGAAGTATTCTGGGGAACATGCACATCAGTATTCTTCAGAAGGGTTTTCTTACCAAACCTGCTGTGAGGTTTTCTGGTGTAGCATCTGTGTCTTCCGTAGTCCTCAGCTGGAGTCACAGGCTGCTCAGGTAACCCGCCTGGTGTGTGGGCACTGGCTGCTGGGCAAGCTCACACCCAGAGCCTGCTGCTTTTAGATGCTGAGGCAGGTGTACGCATTGGAAAACTTCCTTTAAACACAGACTAAGTGTAACAACTGACTGTAAGCAGTAAATGCCGTGAGGATTTTACGTTCTTTCAATGTGACAGTTCTTGCACTAGTCATATTTTTAACCTGGATTTTAATTTTTAATAGATTTTATTTTAAATTTTAATAGTCCTTTATTAATATGTTAAAATAATAAATTTGTAAAAATCCTTTATTTCAGAAGAATTTTCTCACTTGAAAATCATTTATTCACACTGTCAGACTGCACAATTACTGCAGATTTACAGTGTTAAACCCTTTTTTTTGTAAAGACATCCGAGTAATTGTTGAAGTTCTAAAATGTTCAGCTTTATTATAGTGGTTTTACACTATTTGGTACTTTAACTATAAAGAGGGTTTTGCATTGCTTGATACAGTGCGTTTATTATAAAAAGTCTTCTGAAGATGTTTTACACCTATGTGGTATTTTTCATGTCAAGGTAGTTTTCAGATTACGTTATTCTGTGCTTCAAATGCAGCCCCCTCAAAACTGAATCACAGAATTGTAGAGTATTTTGGCTATGAAGGGACTTTTAAAGGTCTTCTACTCCAACCCCAGTGCAATAAGCAGGGGCATCTTTAGCCAGACCAGGTTGCTCAGAGCCCTGTGCAACCTGGCCTTGACTGTTTCCAGGGATGAGGCATCTACCACCTCTGGGCAACTGGTTCCAGTGTTTCACCGTCCTCATCAAAGCTGTTAAAATGAGCAGCAATGCAATACAGTATCTTTAATCAGAATTTAAAGTTTTGAGAAAGCTTGTCCTTGGGCAAGCTCTGTATTCTCTATTAATGAACTAATTTAAGCCCTGGTCTGCAAGCTGCCAATAGCTCATTCCTATTCCAATTCTCAATGTATGTCAGCCACAGATGGCCTTTTTGTTTAACTGTGGGCTACCATGGTTCGACAGTGGGCAGCTCTGAAGTCTAAACCTAATTCTCATTGTCAGAACTTCAAGTTACAGGGACACTTCTGTGCCGGGGGAATCTTAATGACCATAAACAAACAGGGCTGCTTTTTGTCTCACCAACAGAACAGCGCTTTTGGAAGCACGTTCATAGTGCTTGTGGAGGTTACAGCTGGATACAAACTTGGCATGAATAATTCCACCAAGTGCATCCTAAATTGCTTCTCCCTGAGCGTGATATGCCTGCTGGAAAAGTAACTGTGTGAATTTCCTCGTGTACTTTAACACCATTTCAGGTTATGGCTGGTTCTCCACACAAGGTGCTCTCATTGGGAATGTTGCTTTCAATTTGTTACTTTGTTTTTTGAATTCAGAAGTTTAACAAAAACGAGTCAGATGCTTCATGTAGCGAATGCATTTAATGTGTGATCTGAAGATAATCGAGTGGTAGTGGGTTTCTTTAGTAAAGCAAAATTTACTAAAATGTCACCTTATGACCTGCTTTTCGAAGGAGTGAGTTAATAAAACGTTATTTCCACTTGTTTGCAGAGTAGAATTGTCATAGATGATACATACCATAGCAAGCCAAGTTGTGAACTTTCAGGGTTAGTGACAGAACCAAATCTGTCAGGTCGTTCACACACTTTAACCTTCTCTTCAAATGAGGTGAGTTTCAAAGTGTGTATATGTGTCTTGTTGGTGTTGTTGTTCACAGTACAGCATGTTTAATAGAAACAGATTGTTGTCATGTGAAAACCTGACCACTGTTTCCGTATTTGAATGGTGAAGAGCACTTCTTCTGTAAAGAGTTGTAAGCTGTTGCTGAACTAAGGACACACATTGGTAGATGCCATGTCAGCCTTTGTGTTCTGCTCCTAGTTACATCAGAAACATTGGAATGAACTCTCTGTGATCAAACTGCGGTTTTTAATTTTAAATGTCACACCTTTCTGTCCCGCTAATTTAAAGCAACTTCCTGGGTGAATGAGAACTGCAACATTTTTGGCCTTGCCTTCACATCCGTGCAGGTTCGTTCTACTGTAAAATTTCACCTAAAGAAAGACAAACAAAAAGGAGGGGAAGTGGTTCTGATATAGATAGACACTAGATACCTGAAAGTCAAACTGTAGTGATAATGTGTGAAGAAAAAATCCATGGATGTGGTTGGTTGTTATTAGCTATCTTAAGCCAGGCTGTGGTGAAAAATCTTAAAGTATTCCAGTAATAGTCAGAAAAAGTCAGAACAGTCTTACAAACAAGGTTATAAATATGAAATCGCTAACATAATAATCTGGGGCGTCAAGATCGTATAACTAGTTTACAGGTTTCAGTAGTGGATTAATTTCTTGCAGATTTTTGCAGCAATGACAGCCATGGATCTAATGGAAACCAGAGGAACTCCAGTTCCAATCTCTCATTGCCAGTGCTCCCTTGAATTGCAGTTTTTTGAATTGAATGGTTCATGAATGGAATATGTTTCTAAAACTTCCAAGCAGTATAAATCGTGAGATTATAACAAAGCTAAATCTCTTCTTGAATATTGTTCTTTGACCGGTATTCCAGCTTTCAGTAGAGTTCTGGTTCTAAAACCCAAACGAAAGTTGTCTAATACTAATTGTGCCTGTGTAAGGTGATGATTTAAGCTTTTTTTTTGTTATAAATGAGTCTGATTCTAGTGTTCTCTGTAGTTCTTACGTTGCGTATGCATATGACCGGTGAAAGTTGTTCGTACCTCTTCAGTAATTACATCGGTTCTGAGGATAATGATAAACAAACTCTGAGATGGTTTCTCTTTCAGAAAGCAGTGTGTGTGAAGAAGAATAGCTAGTTCTGTTCTTGAGGTTTTTAATTAGTAAGCTACACTGAGGTCTAGGAAAACGTAAGTAACCAATTAATTACAGCAATTTTGGATATTTCAAATCCTCAACTTAAGCCCTTTGCAAGTGGGATCTCTACCTGGTACTTGTTGTTGGGTGGGTTCATAAATATCCAGCAGGGATCACGCTAGCCGGTGTAACAACCCCCGCTTTCAGAGGAGCGTACTGCTGTGTGCTGTCCTGCAAATCCCAGAGCTGTTAGTAGGCAGGAGATGGAAACAGCTCTTAGAAATCTTGATGGGAGCAAATCTTGATGGCCTGTGCTGCACAGGTCCCCACTGGCAGTTTGGGGAAGCGACTGAACGGTTAGAGCTGTTAGCAGCCAGCTTGGTACAGCAGAGGCACATCCACCGGCAGCTGGGTAGCAAGCTAGCTGGAAATCCCTACTACCCTTCTGAAGCTTTCAGTCTGTTAAACTGTGTGATGGCATTGGGGTTTTCTTGGAGTTTGTATCTTTTCTATGGAGCCTTCAGTACTTGCTTTCTGAATCACCTGCGTTTTTATGCAGGACCACTTGATTTTCTCATGCTTCCATACCTCGCAAGTCATTTTAGTTCTGCTTTCTGAACTTGCAGCTGATCTTTTGTGTGCGTGTGGTGGCTGTTTTGGGGACTGTAACTCTGAGGTACAGCCAGCTTGGGACAGTCCTCCTGCCTCTGGAAGGACAGTAAACAACTGCAAAGAGAAGAAATATGTAGAGGTGTTACTTAATGATCAATGAGGGTTACTCAAACAAATCACTGTTCATCTTACTCTTCTTCACTTTTCACTTTGTTATTCATATTCTGAAAATATAGTTACAGATGTGCTTTTCCCTTGTGCAGTAGTGGAAAAATTAGAACTATACGGGATTAAGTGTCTTCCTGTTCACCTTCACTTCTGTGAGAAGATGATGTCTACACCGATTCAGTTTTTGGCACAACTTCTTCTGGTTTTAGGGTTATGTCTTTACCAATTTGAAGTAGGAGGAGTTTGTTAGCAGCTGGTGATGCAAAAGCCTGGACTGGAATTAGTGGCTTGGAGTGGAGGACTCCTCCGTGATACGGTCTGTTAGCTGCTCTCATCCACGCTGCTTGGAAGAACTGGTGCAGAGAGACCCAAAATTCTGTTGGGGGACTGCATTCCCCTGGCGAAATGAATGAATCGGGGCCTCTTTGTCTGACAGGAGTACACCTTCTTCAAGTACTTATACTCTGAAATTACAGAGGCGAAGTTGCTGCGTGGCTGGCACAGATTACTTGTGAGTTCCAACTGGAATAAAACATTGTGCGCATTTCTCAGTGTAAAGGAGATAGGTAGAGACTTCCCCTTACTTTGATTTATCTTGGACATCGAATCACATGTGCAGCAACAGTGTTCCAGTGCTAGTGGCCATTGAGTCTGTGTGACCAGACTAGGACTATGTGGAAGTGAAAATCTTCTGAAATGCTTGTAGTATGGATTTTAGGAACTCAGCACTAACTGTTCTGCTCTACTAACTTGTTCCTGTTTATCTGCACTACCTCCTGATGTAACCACTGTCCTTTGTTTCACCAACCAGGGAAAGCAAAACCATTTCTAATTACATGCAGTCCTCTGATGCACTGAAAATTGAAATCTGTCTTGGTTTCACCTCATATGTGTTCCACATTGCCCACTGGGATCCGGTTTACTGTATGATCTGCTCGTGTGACAGGCTCACGTCACACTCTCTTTCACTTGCAATTGCCAGAACTATTTTGTTGCATTCAGTGAACTCTCTCAAATTTTCCATCAAGGATGTTGGATGTTGTGAGATCCCTCCAGTTGAGAGCTGTAGTTGTTCACCTGAAACGGAGAGTCACATCTCAAATCCATCACAAGGAAGATGCTTATTTCCATGTTTTCTGTTTACAGACTTGCTGGGAAAAGTGGGCCTGCTTTCTGCTGTTTTGCAAGGATCTTTGCTAAGTAGTGGAAGCTGCTTAGTGGAGCAGTCTGCAAGTCTGAGGCAGCCTGTAGTCAATCATGAGCCAGTGAGAGATCATTCTGGATAGTTAATGAAACTTCGCACTAGAATTTCTTCTGTGTGGACGCTGAGCTCTGTTTTATGTAGCTTTTCTTTTGTGATGAAGTGCTTCAGGATGAACAGCAGTACTTTTTTTCCCCTCAGAATCCAACTGAAATGGAAGCAGTGAGCTTCAAAAGCTCTCTGAGCTGGCAGAGTGTATTTTCAGTGGAAGGCTACAAGCTCTCACATTTCTGAAATGGCCCACTAGGCAGAGTTTAAAATTTTCAAATGCTGACATGATGGCATTAGATGAAAGAATAAACAGTCCTCTCCTTTTAGAAATGCACCAAATGTAGTAAAACTGTACCTGGAACAGTCACCAGATTTAGTGACTACTGGAATTGCTTTATTTTTCATTTCCTTCACTTTACAATAATCAGTAATACAGTTGATGGGTTACTCGATTCTTCTTGGTGCTGTGTAAGGCAGTTGTCTAACATTAGGACTGAGCTACCCTAACTGACTCACCGAGGAAGCTTGGTCGTTGTTAGGATACATCAAATTTAAGCGAGTGCTTTGCTATATCATTTTTTAGAGAAAACCATTTATGTTCTCCATTTCTGACTTTGTGTTGAATGTTGCAGTGTCTTTTTGTTTATAGCAAACTCACGGGCAAACTGACTATAAACTGCGATCACAAGAACTGAAATCCTTTTGGAGCTAGATTATGTTTAAAAATGCATTTAATTAATCAAACTCGGTTGGCAACTGGAATTCAACATACAGCAAAGTAAAGCATTGCTTACAGTGACTTCTCTCAATTGGTTAGGCATTAGATGATGAATTTACAACAACAGGAAAGCAAAATCAATGGCACAGCAGACCCATTTCTGAGTGGACCACCCAGCAAGTATGCCACTGGTTAATGGGAATGAACATGGAGCAGTATATTACGGAGTTCACAGCTATGAACATCGACGGACAGCAGCTAATGCAGCTCGACAGTGAGAAGTTAAAGGTATGTGGATATCCCAGGACAGATACGTAACTATACATTTCACTGCTTATCCAGACATATTTTGAACCTACGAAGGCTGTTTTCCTGTTTTCATGGCTTCTTAAGGGATAGATTTTTGCTTTTGAAATACTTGGAGACTCAGATGAGAATGTAGTAATTTACTGCACAGGTAAAGACAAGCGGTTTTTAATAAAAAACCAAAACAAACATATACTTATTTCTTCCTTGTTTGCATCTTGAGGAAATGAAAGTAAGCATAATTCCCCAAAGGGGCTTGATAGATCTGTCATCAATCTCAGCATAAGGTTGTATCAAAACAGGATCCAGACCTTTCAAATGCATAGAATTGCAGGATCCAGTTTTAGAAATCTTGTTTCTCCCACATCTCCTCTTCAGATGGGAAGGATAAAAATCCTATCTGGTGACCTTTTACATGTTTTGGTTTTT